ATGTGTAAGATGAAAGTAACTATGCACTCACTTGTTAAAGTGATGATTCCAAACTCAGGCAGCGCTTCGATTTTAACGATTCTATTTTCCTTCGACGAAACCTAGCATTATTATCGCTAAGTTTTAGTCTAATCTTTATTGCGACTAATTATTAGTCTAGATTCATCATTAACTCGAAGTCTACTTCAAGATCTATCAAGTAAGGAACAAACAGGTAGGATCATATCAGAGGTAGGGTCTGTTTGGTATACGAAGTATACTGTTTGGAAATCCCACTTTAAACACCTCACTAAATCACAGCCTAGACATCATCCCCGTAAGTAGATCAATCAGTATAACGACTTTGAATCACTGATAAATTTTATTTATAGGTTCATAATAATGATATTATAAGCTATATTTAAAGTAGGGTAGCATAACTTACTTAGCTAGGAGCCGGGCTCTGCAGGGGCAGAACTTCGTCGCTGAATCTTTCTAAGAAAGATTATTGCAGCGCTTCAGCGCTCACCTTACTATATTAAAAACTACAGAAAGAGAAGTCGAATAACGAAGGACCGAAATGCTCAGGGGATAAGAAGAGAAAGACTCTTGAATCAAGAGAATGTTTAAGAAATATGAGAGCCTAGAGGCTCTTATTTATAGTAATTGAATTTTCAAAAATCACCCTCTATATTTACTTAAATGACTAAACACCCATTTATAATACTATTTTAAATAGATTTAATGATATTTGTACTAAACTAATGTCGAAAGTACTCAATATTAGTCTTATAACGACCGCATCGTCGATACCTTTCTAATGATATATACATATGTATATATATATATGTAGACGTATATATGATTTACGCTTTATTTTAATACGTAAATGTGCTATTAAAAATTATAACTTGTTCATACGAACTCCATTTTTGACGTTCTTTATATCCACGCGTTGCTATTTACGAGTACTACAACTTTCATTTAGACGCCGTCAACTAATTCTCATTCTATCTCAAATTTACAAAACTGTATCGAATTTATCGCGCTCAAAGAGTAGGGACCAAGTTTCGTCCATATCTTTAACATACGAGCTCTATTCTCGACGTCTTTATATCCACGCGTTGGTATTTATGAGTACTACAACTTTCATTTAGACTCCATCGGCTAATTCTCATTCTATCTCGAATTTACAAATTTGTATCGAATTTGTCGCGCTTGAAGAGTAGGGACTAAGTTTCGTCCATATCTTTCGCATACGAGCTCCGTTTTCGACTGTCTTTTTATCGTTGAGCTCCTATTAACGAGATATTAAATTCTCGTTTAGACTGTTTTGGTTAAAAATCGACCGATCTAAAATTCGAATTTTGGGTTGTGCACAGATGTGCCAAATCTTAGAAAAATCATAACTTCCTCATACGAAGTCAGATTTTGACGTTCTTTTTATGTACACTCTCGGTTTAACATATACTACGAATTTCGTTTAGATCGCTAAGGCTAGAAAGTATTCTATCGTAAATTTACTTTTTACGATTCCCGGTGTCGTGCCGGTTTTGCTGTAAAACTTCGACGGGTCATAACTTCTTTGTTATAACTCAGATTTCAGCGTTCTTTATATGTACGGAGCCCTTGTGACATATACTATAACTTGGTAAAGATTATTTATTATAAATAATCTTATATCAAAAAATAATATTTTTGACGTTTATTGTCTCTAAATTGACTAGCCCGAATCTACGGACGTTACAATATGTGAATTACATGTGATTTACATGTGAATCACATGTAATCCATATGTGATTTACATGTGATTCATATGTGAATGACATGTGATTTACATATGAATCACATTAATTCATATGTGATTCACTTGTGATTTACATGTGAATTACATGTGATTTACATGTGAATCACATGTAATTCAATTGTGAATAACATGTAATTCATATGTGAATTACATGTGATTTTTATCGACCGGACATCTTAATGTCACTAACGCTCTAGGTTACTATAGAGGAATTACATGTGATTCAAGAACAATAATTAATCAATCCAAAAGGAACAATTTTTTAGTAACTTTTTATAATTCTTTTTGAACAAATGAAAAGTTTTAGTCAACTTGAAAATTACCTGCATTTTGGCTTTGAATCTAGTTTGACCAGCTTGTTCTATATTTTCTGATCTAACCATGTCAACAAGCATAAGTCTTCCACCATATTCATCAAATATATCCTCCACAACAATCTGTTGGTTTGGATCATCTGGTCTGCACCATGAGGTAGACTCATTCCAGGCTTTTGTTTTAATCCCACTTAAGCTACAAAATGAAATTACATATCAAACTAGCACTACTAATCCTTCGCAGAGATTATAAAAGATAAGACCTATCATGCCAAATCACCTCAAATAATAGAGTAAAATATAAAAACAAGGAAGTTATGTGGAAAGTGGGTAATGGAATGTCAGTTCCATTCTATAGTTTTTTGAATAACCTTACCTGAATGAGTAGTAGTGTTTGGAATTGAAATCAAAATGGAGCCTCAAGAGACTCATCCCATACATCCCCACTACCATTAGATGTATCATTTGCATCTTCCTCCATTGAAAGCCTTATATATTCCCGATGTGCAAACCAATCCCATTCAGTCAATCTTGGATTCTCACGTTCCTGTTAAACAAAAAAATGTTATTTCCATTTCTACCCCTGATGATATTACTAAAGATGGAATGGCTTACCTGGCGAATGAGAAAGGGGTCACGGGATTCAAAGGCCATGAACTTATTAAGGTTAAAGAGGATATTGAAAGTGCTTCCAGAGAGCTTGCTTCCTTTCAAGTCTTGTAATGTAAAATAAGCCTCTTCCTGTAAATAAAAATGTAGTTTACTAAAGAATTTTATTGTTGCATTGGAATTGAATTTACTGGATTCTGATTTTTTTTCTTCATTCATTGAATTTAATATATATTTTTTATGTCTTCTTACAAAGAGGTGCGAGCTTCACGTTGACTCACATAAGTAAAGCCAACTGCTTCATCCTGAAGACATAAATTTTAAAAGTAACATAAATAAAAAAAACAGAGAAACAATGGAACTGAAAATAAAATGTAAAAATGACTAAGGCTCCAGAAACCATCACAACACCAATAATACTAAAATTTGGAGAATTATTGGCATCAGCTAATGTGAAGAGGATCAATCCAACAACAAGAAGAACAACAGAAAAATATTCACGTGGGAGATACTTTCTTCTCAAACCAGGAATGAAAGCTCCCATGATCATAATAGGTAAAACCTATACACAGTTTCATTTAAAAAAGATTAAAACAATAAATTTGGATCCAGAAGAATATGAAACTTTGAGATACCTTGGTTGATTTGAACATTAGTTGAACAGGATAATTGAGATAAGCCAAGGATCCTTTTGTTAATCCATGAGAACCCATAAGAACAGCAGAAAGCTTAACGTACATTTTCCATGGATTCACCATTTGCTTTGTGGTGAATCCTTTGTAAACTTATGAGTGTTAAGTATACAAAGCCTTGTACGAATGTAAAGTACCATCGATAGTTGAATTTAAGCCTGTTATATACGTATTCCTGCGATAAAAAAAAAAAAGATAATATAGATATGATTCGATTTTGATTTATTAATAATATATTTCAGTGAATCGGCTTCACTTTGGCCCTAGGTTACGATTATCAATTGATATGTTCTAATTTCTTCTACAGCAGATCAATCGAAACAATGAATCAAACATGCAGACTAAAATCGGTAATAAAGAATAATTAAAAATTAGAAAAGACGAACCTCTGGTTGAGCAATAACAGGAACAACGTTTTCGGCCATGATCAAGATGATTGATTCAAAGAGAGATGAAATCGTCGACTCTTCGGGAAATAAGAGCAAAAACTTTATAATCGGCTATGGATGTTGACGATGGAGGAAATTCCGATGGTTGTGCAGGTGTACGATTTTCTGTATGGACAGAACTAATATCAATGTGGTAGAGACGATGGTGATTTAATGGGAGATCGGCGGACTCGATGATTGAAACCGATAGTGATTGGGGTCGATCCAGGGAAGAGGGGTGATTCAGTGAAGAGACGACATGAGAGAGAGAGAGAGCGATATTTAATTGGGGGAATTAAAAGAATTATTTTATTCCTAAAATGCCCCCTGATTCATTTTTAAAATCATACCCTCGTTACTTATTTTGTCTATGTATTTACAAAAATGTCACAATGCATCTTCGTCATCCTTTTTTTTGATCTAACGCTCCAGTTTTAGTTCTTGGGAAACTTTGAGTTGTCAAATGATCATTCTTCTCTCTCTCTCTCTCTCTCTCTCTCTCTCTATATATATATATATATATATATATATATATATATA